GTGATAAGTGGAAGCCTTGCAGAGACAAGGGTGGAACAAAACTGAGAAATACCGGCTGTTTCTCGGTAACTCGATTTTGACGCTTTGTGTTTCGTGCTTCGCATGTGACTTCACTGCCTTAATTCCCATCGTTCCGAGCTTGAATGACTTCTTGCACAAAATACACTGTGCCTCATGTATGTTCTCTGGTACTGGTTTTAGCCATGGAGAAAACTCTTGGCTGGATAACAAATTTTGGTTACATTTACACTTGCTCATATTTTCCAGACAAAAAGTAAGTGGTGCATCTCCCAAATGTCCCAAACGCTTTTATTGGTTCCGCTATCGGGACGGAACCAATAATTGAGAGCCATTATTTTATTTAAATAAAAAAAAAAAGGTCAATTTTAATGTTTCATTTAGATTACAAAAATAAATAATAATAAAAATAATTCTATTTATGATGTTTTAAAAATTAAGACCTACGAAAGACTGATTCAAAACATTTTAATACCAATTAAGGCCTTAGTTTTTTTTGAAGAATTCAATGCCTTTTAAGACTTTTTAAGGACCCGCGGGAACCCTGTATTTTCTGCTGCGTGTCTTTTGGATTTCCTTGCTAAACGCCCAGTTTGGGTATCCACAGGTTTGGAGAGCGTCTTTGATGTGTTTCTGTTCTTTGTGCTTCCCTTCTGTTTTAGTAGGGACATGAGACATCAGTATCTTCTTTTTGACTGAAACCAACCACTGGAACACAAACTCTCGGCCTCAGAACCTTACAACACCGGGCAGAACATGTCCCTACTATAACAGAAGGGAAGCACAAAGAACAGAAACGCACCAAAGATGCTCTCCAAAACTGAGAGTTTGTGTTCCAACTTCCAAAAACTTACAATTCAGTTATTAAGTTGATTCCTTCCAGGTATCCCCACAACCCCCACCCCATCACAGGGGAGGAAGGTACCTCCTCTATTCAGCCAGGTGAACAATCCCCCCTTTAACAACAATGTTTTGAATTGAGAAAGCTTCCTGAACGGGAAGCAAAACGTCTTCAAACCTTGGAAACAAAGTCCATGGGATTGTATTTTAAACTTTTACAGAATGACTATGACCTAGATGACTAAGAATCTTCACCAGCAACAGGTATTATGGGCTGAGACATTTCCAGCTATTCATGTTTGTTGTTTTGTGATTTTCAATTACATGTTATAGAATTAGTTTATAAACTACTGCTAATAGTCCAGCAGCACTTGGAAACTGAGCTGCCCCAGACTTTCTTTGGCAATCAATTTTTCAGATTTAAACATTGGCAAACGTTTATATACAGCAACAGTCTCTCTCTTCTCATCCTTGGTCCTGAGTTTTACCCCTTGCCGCCACCTTGCCCCATATTGGCAGAGATTTTGAGAATTCCTTTAAATTATGTTAAACACTTTTTATATAAAGTTTTTTATAAATTGCTGCAGTTTTGCTCTTTGATCCATATCTATAAAACGTATCCAAACAGGAGGTTGGATTCCATGAGGGTATATAAACTGTAGCAGGTGATAATAAAAGGCTTTGCAGTGTTAATGAAGTTACAGGTGAAGTTAATTATTTCAGAAGTGTAGCTTATTAGACCCATGGTGTGTTATACAATATCTAACATGCTATGAGAAGCAGTGATTTCAATACGCACAGCTTGAAAAAACGACATTTGGGTTTTCCAGTGTTAATCCTGTAATCATTAACAAGCGGATTAAATATTTAACTAACGGAGAAGTTTTAAACTTAATCACCACATTGTTTTTAATAATTGCCGATTACCAAGGATTTGTCTCTAGTTATCTGGCCTCAAACTGGATTGGTGCCAATGAGGAACTTGTGTGAAGCAAATGCTAGCATGCGGTAGCACTGGAATATCATTGGGATGAAGAGGCTTTAAGAGGAATGCTTTTCTGATTGTTCATAATTAATGGATGATATTTCAACTCATTTTAAAAAATAATAAATGAAAAATTGTAAAACGTACACACATTTATCCATAAACATTATATTTCATGCACGGTCAATCTATCATCACAGTCATGTAACTGATGTTCATTGGTGTAAAGAAGGGAGCAAAAACAGATTAATAAAAGAAAAATTCTGAATTCTACATGTTAATTCTCACGTCTAAACTCAATATTAAAAAACCCAAGGTTTGTGGAAATAATTCCAGATTTATCAAAAGCGAAAAACTTTTACTATCATATTTTTGGTCCTTTACCGTCATGACATTTTCCAGGGTGACGCCGGAGTTCTCTATACCCAGCTCCTCAATGAGTTTTTGGAGAACTTCGGTCCGACTTTGAGCCAGACGGGAGGGAAAGGAGGATTTGAATGGCTTTACTAATTCACCAGGAATGATCTGCAGGGCTCTCACATCCTTCAAAAGAGCTATTTCCTGCACAAAAGCCAAGAGGAAGAATGAAAATTAGATTTACAGTGTTGGATTTATTGATTTGTTTGTAGACCTTCAGCCTTTCATTAGGTAGAGTGTATACTGTAAGCCACTAATAAACACTTGTGTGTTAGCATAGGAATTTATCTTTCAACACAGGAATCCTGTAAGTCGACATGTCAAGACAGATGTTTCCAGGTGTGATGCAAAGAAGGAGGCTCTGTTAATACACTGTCAATGTAAAGGAAATACATTAAATAAACATACAGAATAAAATAAAAGACAACAAAACTGAATATTTAGTTTGACAGACATAATAAATAATCAATCAATGGTTTAATGAGTTTGGAGAAGAATCCAGCGTCCAGGGAGGCTTGGTGAACTCTGAGCAAAAGGAAACACTCCTCTTTTAACACTAACTTCCATGAAATACTTCACTGCCACAGATTCTGCGGTGCAGTTACAGTGCTATAACGTTTTTGCCTCGATGATTATTTTGTTTTTTTGTAACACTAATATATTTATAAATAAGAAAATTTTATCACTTGACAAAGACAGCCTGAATAAATACAAAAGACACATTTGAGAACATTAATCTAAAGGGAAACATGATCGAGAGTCTTTAATTTTTTTTGGAGGAATTTTGGCTAAGTCTTCTTCTCAGAACGGCTTTAATTCAATCAACCCATTGGCTTTCAGAAACAACGGCTGGTTTAAGATCAGGCCACAGCATCTTAATTGGATTTAAGTCCATATTTTATCTAGGCCAAGACTTCTGGAAACAAGAGCAGATGCAGGCTCCCATCAGGACTTTTCCAAATGTAGACAATCTTGGTCGCTTTCTTTATAATTTTTTTAAGCACTAGTGGCCTTTATTTTATTATTTTTGAAAGGGAACAGACAAGAGATGGGACAAAGAGAGGAAGAGATGCGGCAAAGGTCAACAGGCAGGAACTGGAACCTGTGACAGCTGCTTCGAGTCATGTGATGAACCCCTACGCCCCCGCCACACTCCCATCTTTCTATGGTCAGCAAAGATTTTTCTGAGAAAAACCAATAGATTTGTCCATTTAAGCTCCTGTCCTTCATATAGCACAGCTTAACACTATACCAGGGCCAAGGGAGGCCTGCAGTGCTTTAGATGTATTTCTTTCGTAGCAAAAAAGTAAAGCAGTTGATGTAAGACCTCCAGGAAAGATTCAACACTTCCATGTTTCCTCTGTGTTCGGAAAAGGACCCATAATGTGGTTCATTTGAGGTTTAAACCATTAGAAATGGCAGTAACCTTGCTGGCTTTCAAATATATTGTTATATAATGAGTTGGTTTTCTTGATGTCTCAGCCAAATTCGTGCAGCCAGGCAGGTTATCTTTTATGCCATTTCAGATCTGGCTGTTTCAGACATAGTTATGAGTGGCTTTATTACATTAACCTCAAAATTTACCAAGTGGGAGGGTATGTTTTGCATAAGGCTAGATTTTTTTTTCCTTCTCTGATTATTATATTTATTGATGTAGAAAAAGATCTAATTTACAAACAAAAATAACAAATAAAGGAAGAAATAAATAATTCAAACCTGCACGCCTTCCATCTATACACAAACCTGCAAACACTTCAAAGTCTCTCCTTGACATGAAAGTACCACAGCGGAGAACAACAACTATATCCACCCTTCTGATGAGCTCACCCATGTGAGTTCCAGGTGGTTCCAGTTACGGTTAGATGGGGTAGTCAGGGGAGAACAACATCAAGGTTGTTTAGCACATTACAACATGTCTTTATTTGCCCCATACTGGTTATTAGGCAAGACCACAGAAAATTAAGACGTCTAGACAACTTTTAGACTATAAAACATTTGAAAAGGTTAACACATTTTTGCTGAGAAAATGACTTTCACTGTTTGCTCAAATCTTTTCTTTCAGCTTCATAAACCCTAAATGCTATTATCATTTCCTTTTCTATGTTTTGCATATTCTCTGAGTTTCCTCATATATAACAATAAACTTATAATTTGATGTAAAGCTACCTGGTCCACCAGCTCGTTGGTAGAACTAGAGGAGAAAAAGTCACAGCACTGGTATCAGAGATGCATCAATCCACCGTAACGCATCAGCCAATACTGATGCTACTGTTTAATGAACACACCGTGTACCTTGGTACGTCACTAAAGGTATAAGGCTTGAAATAAACATTGTTAAAATGAAGGAAAAAAATCCCACAGATATAAATGTATGTGATATGATGTATTAACTAATAAAGTATACATTAGCAGCAATAAGACATAGATAACACTTTCATATAAATTATAAACTGTAACTGTATTTCTGCGATATATATATAAAAAAAAGAAATGACAGCTAATTAGTCAATATTGGAGTCGACATCCGATCCTGGTAACCCTGGCCAGTTGTTTGTTGTTAGTTACAAGACAGAGCAAACTAGGTGGTTTTTGTTGTCTTTTCTAGTGAAGAAAAACAAACACAGCTAACGTGTATTTGACTAAAGAATGGCAAGTCACCACTGTTATTATTTTAAGTCATTTTTAAAATCACAGATGATGAACTATGAGCCGCATGTCTTTTAAACAGCTAAAAGCTGGATCTGTCTGATCAGACAGGCTAATTAATCTTAACTTAATATAGCTGTGTTACTTATTAAAGTCAAAGATGACAAACGGACATCACATCATGCACAATTGGTAACACAAACTATAAGTGAACTTAGTGTGCATTTGTCAAAATATAATAACCGTTTTATAATCATAGCTGTAAAAATAAATGTCAGGGATTTAAATAATACAGCATTTGGAACTCCAATTAAGAACAAAGAGTATTACAATTTTCATTTTTTGCTGTATTTGTATGAGACACCACAAAGGGAAACATGCTGAATGGTCTGTGAAATATAATACGCCCGTTGTTACAGTGAGAAATGGGACACAAGGCAGTGCATGGGACAGGATCAGCTGACTGAGGCAGGTCAGAAACTACAATGGCAGGACTAAGAAATGTTCCAACAGGGCAGGGCTCTGGGTGTGGCTTTAAGCTAAACCTCCCAAACCAGATACACTATCTCCTTTAATTGCTGATACTATTCTTGACAATAAGTTGGAATTCCACAGTAAAATCAATTCAGACGGGGGGTGTTTTTGCGAGCGAGTTTGTCTTGAGAAAAATCTGTCACCATTAATACATCTGTGACTGTAAATAACACTGGATGTTTCATTGTCTTTAGGCTTAGGCTATAGAGCGGAGAGCTCCAGTAACAGCGGAGGTGGTGGACCTTTATGTGCATAAAATGCTGTAATTACAGCTTACTGTTAATTAGGGCTATAACAATTGTGAAACCATTCCTTTCATGACCCTGGAGAAATAGGCTGGTGGTGAGTACATTCCTTCCAGGGGCCGCTGGTAGGACTGTTCATTAATATTAACAAGCATCAAACTCTTACCCTGACACTTTAATTGTGGTTTCATACTTGGAAACTGGTCTGCCCACATACCGCTAGCTTATTCACTTTCCAACCAGAGGAAATAGTATATTGGATCTGTGTAAACAAACATGAAAGAGACATAAAACACATTCTATCACCCTCATTTTAAGGAACCTAATCCTCCATATCCTTCATATTAAGTTTAAAGTTTGCACTGTGAAGAAACAGAACTTGGGACCTGTTTTACATTTGATGAAATAAACAGTGATACAAAGAAGTACAGTGACTCTTTCGAAACTCCGACTCAGACCAATTTAGCAGCATTTTAACACCCTAAGGGTTATTTAAATTTATTTCTTTATTTGACAGGGACAGTGTACATTAATAAGCATTCCTGCAAATGCACCAGAATTAGCCAAAAGGCTATTTTTCATCTGTTGTCCCTGGACAGATCTTAAAATTGTCTACCTAAAAACACAACAGTTAAGAAATTTACAATGAAAAATGCAAATATTATAAAGCAATAAAAACAGCTATAACTCTTTAAAACTTGTTTAAAAATTATAGAGGTTACTTCCAGATGTGGGGACAAAGTAGCTCCCAATTTACAGGCGATGCAACTTTCCCAGCTATCAAGCAAAGGAAGAGAAACATAAAAAGAGAACATGGGCCCAAAACTGGGCCCAAAAAACCCATTAATTAAGTTACTAATTGATCTCTTCCTGGGAGTTTTTAAAAATGTATTTACAGATTAAGGCTTCTCAACCAATCAACACCAGGGGTCCTTGCAGAGCCCAGAACTACATATGCAATATTTTCTGCATGTAAATAAATTAGCTTTCAATCTTATATAGTTGTTTCCAATCAAGTTGTTCCCCTACATACCAACTATTATTGCCATATAAGGTTTCATATGGAGTCAATGTGGGCCCCAACCAAACTGAGTACTGTAACATGAATAAAATAGAGAAAGAAATCACTGATTGAACTTTTTTGCTGTATCAACTATCATTTTTTTCTCCCAATGTTGACTAAAATTTAAAAGATGATTTTAAAAAATACTTGGGAAAGCAACCTAACCGAGCCAGATAAGTAAACCAAGGAGCATAAGACGTCAAAGACATGGCTCAGCCTGGTATGGCACAAAGTGGAAAGTCAGTCAATGTAGAAAATTTCCTGTAGGTGTTTATTTGGCTGGCTCACCAGCTGACCCATGTTGGCACCATATGGAGAAACAAGGCAATGGCCTTCCAGAGATTTACCAAACGCTGCCGGACCAGAGCAGTCATCCATCTTCGAGTTGGTGACTAAAGTTTCTTACATGCCCAAGAAAAACAATCCTGTGATCCTGTCATCCTCCTCGCATCATGACCAAGCAGTTGAGGGGGACGTTCACAATCCAAAAATAATAACGTACTTTAATGCTCACAAGGGTGGTGTGGACAGCATGATTCATCTTGCTGGCAGGGAAACGCCTTATGTTAGGTGAAGTTCTAGTTGAGGACTTCCTACAGGAATGTGTTCAAAAACCGACGGTCTCACATGATAAAGGGAGGTCTGCCATTGTTTCTCTGGGCTGACATGTGACAAAAAGCTGCTGCAAGGCCTCCTGCTTCAAAAAAAGAGATAATATCTGTGGTTGGGTGGTTGAACCCCCACATCTGAAAAAGAGCCTTCTACTCCAAGTGTTTCTTGTGATAATTCTGCTCAGGGTGTTCAAAATTCTGACTAATAAGACAAAATTCTTCCTAAGAAATGATTTTGCAAAAAAAAAAAAAAAATAACAAAAAAAAAATAACAAAAAAATATTCTTTTGTCCATTAAAGGTATTGTGGAGGATTTTTTAAAAGACCTGCCCTCTCCACTTAAAAAAAATGCGAATACAAGAGCGTACACAAGCCTATTGCTCCTCGTGGGGACTATATAGTGGACTTTATAGCAATTGTGACAGCAAATCCCATAATGCTTTGCGTGGAGAGCTCTCTGTGCAAAGCATTCTGGGATATATCTGCCTCTTCTGAGGCCTTTCTTTTGTTGTCATACATTTCATAGACACTTTTTCTCTTACAACCCTTTGCCATTTTCGAAGAACCACAGTAAGAAAGGTGAGCTACAATGAATGTAGCTACAATGAATGTAGCTCACCACAGATATACGCATGAAGTGCGCATGCGCAGGAAAAGATAGCTAATGGGGCGAGCACGTAGGACGGTGTTATATAAACACCGTCACCAGAATGATTGACATTTAGAAGGATCACTTACTTAGATGATCCACCCAGAAATAAAAGATCGTCCTCTATACCTTTAAATAAAACCAACAAACAAATTCCAATCTTTTTTCTTTTTTTTACTATTGACATACAGATAGAGAAAACTGGTTTAAGAGGAAATAATTGAAAGATTGTTTATTTCAATGCTTTGATGTTTAAACTAAGAGATGCAAGAACTGATTTATTGGAGATTCAAACTTTATCTCATTAAGCGTGATTATATGGATACAGGCAAGCATGGGCCCTAAGGGAAAAAATTGATTTTGGGGCCATCTTACTCTGCTAATAATACATAAAGCACACCAAGAAAATACTCATCTGGCATGGAAGTTTTCAGGAACAACAACAAACAATTAAAATACTTTTGATGGATAAAAAAATTATAATTTTAACTTTACAAAACTTACATAATTAAATCAAAAAATGAAATGTCAAGCATTTTCTTAAATAATAAAAATACAAAAGCTACCAGGTAGAAAACGAAAGAATAAAAAAATTAAGGTTGAATAATAAGTTATTAAAACTGTATGTGCAAAATCTGTATTTGAAAATATGAACTACGTTTAACTACAATTTTGACAGTTTTAGGTTCCTTAACACTGCTATCAATCCATTAAACTTGCTTCCTGACTTTTCTGTTTGCAAGTCACTGATGACATCACTGCAAGAGATAGACAGCTTTGCACTTAACACTAATCACTGCCAGCCCACTTCATTGTTCTTAGATATATATATTTTTTTAAGTACAGTTTGCAAAAGCTGCGCTCAAGCAACACTCAAGAGAAGAGTGTAGACCCTCCTAAGAGCTACTTAAAGATTAGGGTAGAACTTATATCTCATTCAGTGTAAATGAGGTCAGCTGTGCCTTAGGATGTCTAGAAGGTTTTCCATATCTGAAGCCAGTGCATTCTCATCACTATCAGACTGTTCACCAAACAGTTTGTGTTTGTCCCCAAGGCAAATAAGTTGGGGTTTTTTTGCAGGTAAAAGAAAGGATTTTTACATAATTACAGTTATATCAATATAAAAAAAACTTAATATTTATCATTGTTATTATTTCTATAGGGAAATTATCCAAAAAAACAACAACAAACAGCTAATTGTTCTCGAGGGCACACTTTATTTCCCTGGGACCCTAAGAGCATGGGAGGTTCTCTACTGAAACATAACAGTAAATCAGTTTTATATGATGATATCTGCATTGGTAGAGAAACTTTAACTGATTGCTCTCTTTGACTGATGTAACTTCTTTTAATTTACAGGTTTACATAAACAATTATTTAAACATGAAGGTGTTGCACCATTAGCTTCAGATGTGTTGAGATATATTCACAATCTTTATCTGACAGATCAGGGTTTTGGCCGTGAGTGGCCTTTTGACTCGTTTATATATATTCATAAATTAAATAGTGAATTATCATCATGCTTTTTGTTTTATTCTTTTGCTCTGTGCCCCAAGAAAAAAAAAAATGGTCCTAATTTCGCCTCGCCGGTAAAAATTGGTCTAGAAGCACCACTTTCTGATCGGTTGCTTGGTTTGCTCATGCTGTGAGCTGAATAAACAATGCATCATGTAAGTGTCTATCCAAATCCAGAGGGTTTTTTTTTCTTTCCTTTCAAGAAAAACAGGTTTAGCTGTTTGTAAATATTCCCATATCATTATTAAGCCAATAATCACAGTGTGGAAACTAAGGGAGGCCAAACAGTTCTCTTATTAAGGTGCAGAGATGTATCAAAAATAGAGTTGGACGCTACAAGCAGAATATCTGTTAATCCATCACACAGGTAATGCTCTTGCTTTTCCTGAATTCTGGAGTTCTGTTTCTCTACTGGTTGATTGATTGATGATTGATTGATTTTATAATCTCACAGAGGAGAAATGCACTAATGTTATCTCACTTAGTTGAATCTATAGAATGTCTGCATGACTATAAGATGACTTTAACTTAAAAGTTACAGACCTGTAAGTCTAGCAGGTATGGGAGATGGATGCAAATACTTCCAGTGTACAAAACAAACACATGAGTTCAAGTGTTAGAATACCTGTATGAGGGTGATGGCAGCAGCCCGTAGGCGGTTAGAGGAGTCTCCCGTCCTCGCAAGCAGGTTAGGAAAAGTCTGCTCCAAGCAGTGGCTCACCTCAGCCCGCCCTAAACCCACACCTGGGATCAGCTGGCTCAGTATTAAGCGGAGGAGCTTTAGTGAGGCATGAAAAACCTGAGAAAGGAACCAGAGAACTTAAAGTTTAAAAAAATTGTGTGCTATGTTTAATAACAATGAAGTAACATGAAGAATGATTAAATGTATAAAAGAGAGAAAACAGGAGAAAAGTAAAAATGAGAAAAAACAAACAAAACAGAATGATTCAACGAAACATTGTTGGGAACAGTCGTTTATGACTAATGTGAATAAAGAAAAAATTCAATTCAATTCCAAAAGGCGTTTGCTGGATCGATGTCCAGAGGGAAAATCAGTGCAATTATAACAACACCGCCTTCTTCGTCACCACGGAGGTTTGTAAGCAGTTTCCAAGTACTGGTCAAATTTGTTGCATTAATAAAGCAGCCTCTGTGACAGCTTTTGCATGCGGTACAAACAGAAAATGGGAGTGTGAGAGCCTGCGTACAGTCTACTCAAACAAACATTCTCTTTGACGCAGAAAATAATTGAACATGACATCTACAAAGGATCCAGACAGTGACTAACCCTAGGTTCTGTGTTAATAGGACAGAATAATTCAGTATCCAAATTAAAGAAGCAGCTCTGCTTAGAGCATGGGCTCTGCACAGATAAACTGATGCTGCATTTCTGATGTTAACCTAAAAGAAACTCCCCATAAAACTCTTCCTCTGCCATCATTTCTACTATATACTGAATATCTCTTTTACAGTAAAACTCCCCATCTGGTTAGAAAGAAACCAGCAGTGATTATGGCACAAAGGTAGCGCTATTGCACAAATAGCTTCCCAGCTGCTTTTAGAGACTGACAGAGGATTGAAAAATAACATATGTGTAACACATACATAAACACAATGAACAGAAGTTTAACTATTCACATCGTTCAAAGTGATCAAATACACAAATGTGAGTGAGTTAGAGACTGCAGCAATTAAATCCGCAGTTAAGCATGTAATGAAGGAAGCAGCTCACAACAGCAGAAGCTGACTGGATAATATGTAAAAATGCTGACAGAGGAGCATAAAACAAGCTCTCTGTTTGTCAAGTTTGCATGAAACATGTAACATTTCCCACGCTGGATCAAATTAGATCCTGATGATGATCTGCCAAATTCTTTACGTTTTAGTCTTTCAAGAACAGCGCAAAAAGATGTATAGTAAAAAAGCTCAGAGCATTTAGGCGAAATTATGTTTATGTTTAAGCATATTAGCATCAAGCAACAAACTTCTAAGGTAAAGAACAACAGCTGTCCACTATTGACACATAGACACTAGATTATGATGTTAAATTGACAAGGGAAATCAAAACTGCAGTAGCACAGAAAAAGAAAAAAACATTTTGTGACTTATGTCATGATCTCTTTACATTTGCAGATGGTCACTATATTATAATCCTATTCAGTCTAATATTGTCCCCTCTACTATAACATGGAGGGTTTGGAACACTGGATGCTGCCCAACAGGTAAACCAGCGGCTGGTTGACGAGCACAGCAGACACAGCGTCTCTCATCCTTTGCTGTAGAGAGTTAGGATAGGAGAGACGGCAGCTGGCAGACGGTGGAGGTGGTGTCCCTCCTCAGTCTCCCTGGGATTCCTGTTTTCACTTAGTGTGCACAACAGACACACCTTCAGACCGGCTTCAGCGCAACCTTGCCACCTGTTGTGACTCCTGCTTAGGACTAGAAAAGTTAATAAGCTAAAATGCCTAATTTTAATACAGATAAATGTTTTAATCTGATGCTTTTTAATATATAAAATGGTAAACTGGCTCTTAGTTTAACAACAAAGTAGAGTGGAATATTTTATTTGTAGCGTTTCTTTAAGAGATAATGTTTTGTATTAAAATCCCTTAAAATAAACATTTCATAGTTAGAAATAAAAATACAACAGATTAATATCAGCAAGAGATAATCATATCAGAAATAAAAATAGCCAAACTGTAAATAGAATAGAGATGCTTTTTATACCAAAGGATTTTGACTTACAGATGAAACTTTATCCAGAAGAGACTCCTTAACCAGAAATACGGCCGCTCTTATCATGTTTCTCAGCTCGTCTTTGGGGGCTGTGGAGGCTGCTTCCAACAGTTTGCTGTGCACGGCGAGCAGCGCTTCTTCTCTGTAGCACCAGCTTTTAGAATATGCTCCAGCAACCTGAAAAAAGCAAGAAAAAGATACATTGGTATACCGGCGATATAGAGTACCCTTATATTTCAACCCAAATGAAATTTTTTGAAGAGAAGATCTAAGTATTACAGCTAACGGGTAAAGAGCTTACCTCAAAAAGAACAGAGTCACCAATGTTGTGACACTTTTACATTAATTCACCTTTTAATAATGACTGTTATATAACAGTGCGTACACTGCAACTCAAATATAGTTTATTCAAATCTACATTTACCGAAGCTGATCATTAAATAATCAAAGTTTAGGACCACAATAGAGTGGTTTAATGATAAGCAGATTGCTTTGGCATTAAAGCCCAGTTAAAGTAAGGAACTATATCAAACTAGGAATTTTTAAAATTGAAATTTTTTTAAAGATTTGCACTGCTAGGTAAGATATACAAAACAAACAAACAAAAAAAAAAAACGTGCGTATGAACCTTCTTGTAAACAATGTTAATTTCCCTTTTACTTCAGACTCAGGCAAAACTCTGTGTTAGTATTTTTTATAAAATGACAAAAGACTAGAATATAATTAAACTCTATTGTTATTACACTGTCACAAGTACTAAGCAACAAAACAACCTCTCGGCATTTAATCCATCCCCTGGGGAGCAGTGGGCTGCCATTGTGTGGTGACTGGGGAGCAGTGTGGGGTTAGAGCAAGCATCCCCAAACTCGGTCCTCGAGGGCCGCTGTCCTGCAGGTTTTAGAGGTTTCCTTGCTACAGCACAGCTGATTTTAATTGAAAGCTGATTAATTGGCTTCTGCTCTACTGCAATCATGATAATCAGCTGTGCTAAAGCAGGGAAACCTCTAAAACATGCAGGACAACGGCCCTCGAGGACCGAGTTTGGGGATGCCTGGGTTAAAGGGTTAATCAATCTCCCGCAGCAGTGTGTTGCAGTGAGCTTATCGCAGATGTTTTTGATTTATGCCCAATATTGACGCATGGTCTGCGCTGTTATTCCACGCTACAACGCAAGAGGGACAACCACGAACTAGCTGAGGGTCTAGATACAAGTTTGTGTGACAATGGAGGTACATGAGGTTGAAAAAGAGCGCGGATCCAGGTGGAAAAAGGGTCCCAGCGTTCTAATGCACCTCTTCTAGCTGATCCATCTTCACGAGTCGTTTTCCACAATGGCCGTCACACAAACAAAACAAGCTGGTAAGGTACCAAACAGGAAATACGCATAGTGTAGAGCGGATGTTGATTTGACCAATCAGGGGCCCCGTCTGCGGCACTGTCTGCAGTCACCTACAATTTTGGAGAGGTGCAGCAGAGTGTCTGTGGAAGGGGCGGGGGCACAGTTCTGTTCACCGTAACACAAGCAGACAACGTGGTTTCTGAGTATAAATCAGCCTGAGAGTTCTTCTCAGGGAGCCGGAGTGGCAGTCTGTGTGAGTGGGGCTTGTACTCAAATGTCCGGGACCCAATCGCATTGCCCTAACCACGAGGCCGCCACTCCCTTAATACTTTATTTTAAGGTTTTTAGTTGCAAAGTGATAAAAGTTAAAAAGGCACAAGGAATGTAAATATGTGTGAATGAATAGATACTCCACAAAAACAGAAAGTATTTCTCATATTTGAAAACTGCAGAAGTCACTGATATTCAAATAACATTAGGACGGTTTAGCAGCCCGTGGCCAACCTGACTTGTTCTTACCAGACTCTCTCCGAAGGCCTCTATAGGAAGGCCAGCCTCTCTCAGGACCTTCTCTGTAAGGGGTTCTGGCTCTCCACTAAAGTTGGGACCATGTGGAGAACTTTGCACATCAGATTTAGGAGAGTTCTCCCCTGATGGGGTCTGGATGGCTTCCACCGGTCGATCTCTCCGCTGAAGGGCTGGTAGGGGCCTCTCATCATAAGGCACGTTGGTAATCTGTCCGCAGAATGTCAGAACATCATTATTATTAATTAGTTCTTTAGGTTTCTTTTAATTCATCAATATTCTCTTGATGCGTTAGATGAGATGTAACCAAATTTACGTGGCATTTAAACACCAGAGAGATTCTGTATCACCCAGCATCACTGTAACAATGTCTGCTTTCCATCCTCGATACAAACCACAATTCTAGCCAGAAAGTTCTGCGTTTTGTGCCTCTGAGCCAACTGGCACCCCGCTGCTTAACACAAGCCTCAAAGCACTGCCTTGAGGCCAGGTTGGCAGCCGCCAGAGTCAGCCAACTGTTGCACACTTTTAATTAAATAGTGAAACCTAAACCTCAGCAGGTCTGGGCTTAATAGGTGGCGAGCACAGCGCACAGGCTCCTGATGGTCATAATCTCCCTGTGTGCTCTGGGTCAAGCACTGCTCGGGTTTAGTCGGGAGACATGTTCCAAGGGTGCCTCCCAGCTTTACAGGAATGTGTGTAACCAGGAAAAAAGTACTGCTGGTTTACTCTAAAGAAAATGCAGATCCTCTAGGGAGCGTTTTCAGAGGAAGCTTGTTAGAAGCAGGGTATTAAAATGGCAATCAATGCCTTCGATGAGGAAGATGGCTTACATTAACGTTAGGTACGGTGGCAGGGGTTAGAGAGGTGTCAGGCTGGCTGCTAGGTTTAGACACTACATTCTGTGAGGCTGACTGTTGGTCGTGATGACTGCTTGTCTTCTTCCCTTTCTTAAAGTCATCTGTGGATAACGAGGGCTTGGTGGCTGAAGCATCAGTAGAAGGCAGAAGTGGACCCTGCGCTGAGGACAAATCTGTTCCTCCGGTGATCTAATGACGACAGAGAAAGAATAAAAAGCTACTGTATGTTTACATCAGTCTACTGGTTCCTACTGGTAAGGTGTAAAAATTAAATTCAATTTAAAAAGACTATATAAATCCCAAAAGGGAAATTGGACAAGAATAAGTGCTTAGCACTGACCATTGACACGTCCAGCAGGTTGTGAACTTCCAGCTGTTGGTAGACGCTCTTCCTGTACTCATCCATCAGCTCCTTCTTCTTCTTGGCCAGGTCATAATCCTCTTTTTCGATTGCGCATTTCTTCTCCACATCATAACGAGCCAAACGCTCTCCAACCTGAGAGAGACCAAAAAAAAAAAAAGCAAGATCTGATCCTATTTTCAGAATCTTTGTAAAATCAATAAAGAGAGACGTTTTTTTTTTTTTTGAGCTACTTAAGGCTGACAATGAACATTTTGAAAATTTTAACTTTTATAATAATCCGTCATGCTTTTTTTTTACAGTTTAAAATCACTTTAATGAGGCAACCGAAAAAAGTAACAGACTGACAGAAGCACAAAGTGGCACTGATGGCCCTCCCCAACCTGTTTCTGAGAAGGAAAACTCCTTCATTTTTCTCTTGTTTATAAGAAACATGAATTAGACTGTTTAGAAATAGTAACAGCTAGAACAAAACATTAACATAATGGTGATAAAACTAAAACAGCGCCACCTATCACTCTTTATAAGGGATCGCTGATTTGAAGCTCCAGTCCTCATAAGAGCAGTTTGGCCGTTTAGCATCCAGATGCAGCTTGGCTACCTTAGCAGATGACTAAATGATCAGCTGATATCAGCTTGCCATCCTCTTGTTATTCTATAAAGAGTAGATCAACTAAAATAAATTCTGCTTTGAATTAATGATAAAAGTTATTAAGAATGTGGCTAATGTCTATTACAGTAAATTGTTTTAAAAGCCACTTATAAAACCATAAAAATCTTTCAGCAGCAATAATAGCGTCCATTTCTCTTCAGTGGTAGATAAAAATGATGATGTCCAATGCATTTTTCAATTAATTATACAGTAATTTCCTTCAAAAATGTAACTCTCTATTTTTCCTGCTTACTCTAAACTTCTCAGTAAGTGAAACAAGAAGTTGCAGCCTGCAATGCTCTCTTCTCTTACACTACGACATGTATCATACAGTATACTTTGCTCTACTTATCATTTGGGAACAGTTTAAATTGGTGCACTGAGTAATTCTCTACAGTATTTAATGTTTAAATAAATAGCTGTAAATCATTAGAATTGCCCAATTTTTAACTTGTCTGACCTCCTGCAAGCGTGTCATGCATTTTATTCGTGAGCCTTTATGAATATTTATTGAGGTGATGAACACAGTTAACATGTATTGTACTTAGAATAGATTTTCATGTTAAGTTTATCCGGTTTCAGACCAGATCAGATGACACTGCAAAATTGGTTCTAAAATAAAAACCATGAGCGCGACGGATAAAAACCCTGAGTCTTACAGGTTGGAAACTTACTACAGCTCTCAATATGTTGGAAATGACCTTTCTGAGCAGGGAAGTTCCTTTAAGATGGATAGAGTTACTAACAGTACTAGCCAATACAGTCTTCATGTGTAAGATATTTATAAACTCTGATTATTCTATTATTTATTAAGGAAAATAAATAATATAGGACAGAGAGTGCCAGTTTTCAGTGTTTTGGTTACTACATGTCTGATGGATGCCTCCAGCACCATCAGGGTGTGAACTAAGGGGATTTTCAGCATGACTAACTTGTGTCCACAATGCTAACGTGCCATGCTAACAAGCTACAAGCATTTGTGACACTGCTTGTTATCTGGTTACAGAGTGGCTTTCAGCAGAGGAAAGACAGTGAGGTACCATGAGAGCAGCTGCTGAGCTTGTTAAGAATTGATGGTCTGCATGGTAACACCAGACACAACGGAGGTCTGTGCCAGGAATCTGAACAATGTTTAACAGCTTTTGTACAAACAGTGACAATACTGCACAGGATATGTGTAAAAAAAAGAAAACATATGAGTTTTCAGAGGACAAAACATGATGAGTTTTAAAAGGTCATCTGGATTTTTATGATTTATTTATTACTCTGAACTAAGTTGTAATCTTTCCCCATGTTGTTTAATGTGATACAATTTTAATGTTCCAATACTCGCACTTCCACCGTCCTCTCCCCAAATTGCACATTAATGGGTATTAATGCGAAGAGTGTCCCGATTCTCTAGCGCTGCGTTTTGCCCCGCCCTCTTTGTGGTCTTGACTGACACTTCGGCTAAGCGCCTATCTGAGCGGATACTTAGGGATCGTGTTTTAAACTTTTACCATACTGTACATGTGTAAACACAAAACTATTACTTATAATTGCTGTAAAAGCACGATTTAAACAGTGACAGGTCTTGTCATTTTTCTGGCACTGTTCCAGTTGTATAATTTTGCATGTTTGTAACCTGGACACCTGCACCCGTACTGTACATACATTTTATAGAGTACACACTTAATAAAGGGGTGTGCTGTGGGTATTTAGGACAGGGTCAGCAAACCTGTTAGCGATCCAGGAAATAAAGTAGCACAAAGGTTTACACGAAGGGAAAACGCAGATACTGTATTTCCCTGCGGTTTGGCCTCTCGTTTACACCAAAACCCTGTTTTTAATCACAGAAAACGATTATTTCTAAAAAAAAACTGGCCAAAGTGGAGATTTCTGATAACGCGGTTACGCTGCTGCCGTGTCAACAGGGATAAACGGCTTTTTAGCTTCTTAAACTTCACATTATGCGCCAGAAAATCCTTAAAGGAAAACGCCGTTTTGGATGACGTCATCCACACGGCGCTTTGTTTTTGAAAGATATAAATATAAAAAAATATAACCGCGGATGTCTGGGGGACATGTTCGCCTACATGTTATGAATGCTGGCGTACCATAACTAATCAATTATGAATAGTTTAGTTTGTGCCTTCACATCGTTGCCCATAGGAAGACGTTACTTGGATATAACCTAACCGAATATCTTCAGAACAGCTACAAATGACACACAACTCATATGGGTGAGTAGAACATGATGTAATAACGTAAAATCAAGAGCCCAACGTAAAGAAAAAATGGCGTTTCCCTTTAACGTCCAGTGACATCATATACAGTTTCTGGCATAGTTATTATGGCGCTCGACAGCGTATTTATCCGGGTTGATGTAAATGTTACATTTTATGAAAACAATGTTGTGTGCGTGATGTTATTATTGAAAACACATTTACACTATGTGTAAATGTGGCCTAAGTGGCAAAAAATGTGTGCTTCTCTTATAAAAAAGTCCTCTAACTGTAAGGAGCACAGGTTAACGTTCCGCTGCTTCTCATCCTGTTGCTGTGCACTGTCTAACAGCTGGATTGAAAATAGTTACTACAAATTTCTATCACTACACTTGATATTTAATTTGCTTTATTCCATCTATAAGAACCGAAACAGCAGTGACTTAAAGTCTTAATTAACATTCTATAATCCCAATAATATTCTACTTTAGCAGCAGTGAGAATAATTGTTGATTTGCTAGTTTAAATAATATGAATTTAGTTGTAATCTGACAAGTACTGCCTTGATATTTTTACTTTAGATTTTTATATAATCTTCTAGTTACCTCTGCCTACAATGCTGCATTAAAAATCCTCCTTTCCATCAATGGAAAGAAAACATAAAATGTTTTTATAGCCTTTTGGGATCTACCTTCTGAAGGTCTGCGATGGCTTGCTTCAACTTCTTAGCCTCCTCAAAGTTCTCCTGCCGTACAACATCTTGCTTCTTCTGGTCTAAGAGGCGAATGATGTGAGCGACCTCTGGGTCCTGGTACATGTCGAAGGCCAAGTCATCAAATTGGGAGATAGATGTACATTTTCTGAATGAAAGAAGAAGGGAAGACAGTCAATTCAAGCCAGATTTAAGTTTACATTTGTTTTTATGATTAATCAATCTCCTCCTAGTTCTTTGGTTAAAAAAAAAAATAAAAAATTATGATTAGTACGGTAGTAGAATGAAGTAAAATGCTAATGACTCCCTCCTCACCCTCTTCTCTTGAATCATTTGAAAGGGTTAAGACCTTAAAATGTAACTTACATCTAAGAATACAAGAATGCATTTTTTTTTTTTTTTTTCTTGCAAAGGAAACCACCTGCATTGTCCTCAAACATATGTGACCCTGGATGTCTTAGAGATTTTCTTCTAGACCAAATGGCTTTGCTGAACTGTTATTGTAAAACAAAGACAGTAGGGTTCAATGGCCTCACCCCATGAAAGTCGTGTCCAAGGCAGCTTCCTGCTGGGTATTGTTGAGGTACTGTTCAATCAGCTGGTCTTTGCTTGGCTGGGGGTAAACAGATGGACAAAATATGGTTTTACTGCACGGATCTGCAAAGAATACAAGAGAGGGCTTATACACATCCTTAATCCAACAAAAGGCTCGAACTGAAGAAAATCAAAACCTGAAAAAGATGCACACCCTACAGAAACACAGAGCTAACATCGCTCCTACTCAACCAGCTTTTAATCATTCTGTCCACCACGAATTGAAGCATATTTTAGTAGGTTTTAAATGACAAGGGCCCAACGCCCCTAAATGAATTTCAGTACAATAAATAGCCAGCAGAACGTAACTGAGACATAGGGCCTGACCTTCAGAATGTTTGAGCTTAAAACACGTACAAACTTTTTTGTTTTTGTATCCTCATCAATAAGCAGAGAGTATTTTAATGACCTAACTGCACAAATTCATGGGTAGAGGATAAGAAAATGTAACGTAAAATCTTAAATTTTTCTTTACTTAAACCTGTAACTCAACTGTGTCTGCACTTTTTGGGTCTTTTTTTGGCAGCTTTAAAAGTCAGCTGCAAAGTCCTGCGTAGAATCCATCAGTCATTCAGCAGACAAAGACAACTTTTTCACATTTTATTATAGCATAATCTTTGCTATTTAACTTTAATGTTTTTATTATTTTACATGCTAATTTTGTTCCTAGCATTTTGAGATGGGCTACAAGTCTACACTAAATTATGTTAAGTTTGGTCATTATTATTTTTTAAATAATTATTATCAATACCTCCAACTACATGTCTTAGAACCTTATCTTTCTTTTACAGCTTCTCACAAAACCATCAGTATAGCAAGTAATCCCTTCATCTTAATAGAGCAGAACCATACTGGTTTGTGCATCTTAACGGTTGTGCAAACGATCTTTCTAGATTTCATGCAACATGCCAACTTATTGCCCCTTCACTAAAAAAACTTCCCATGAAAGTTGGCACTCTTCTTTTTTGTTTCTTTAAGTCGGGCATACAATGTACGATTTTTGCAATCTGAACGATTTTTGCAATAGTTACACACAGCTACAGCTCAAACTATACGATGAGACCGCAGGGTTTTAAAAGTTCACAGATCACGATGCATCTTCTCACACTGTGCGGCCCGACGCTCTGATTGATCTATCTGCTCACAATGTACGTCTAAAAACCACGTCGGACTCAGCTCTGCAGTGAAATGACGCTACTCTGACTCGTCTATCAAGAAGCCAAAGGAGAAGAATAGAAAAAGAAGGAAGTGCCTCCTGTTAAATATGAAGCTCACTAGAGTGAAACGTGGCAATTTTGTGTAGTCAAAGCCCTAAAAAGAAAAGGCGACAACATATTTGGACAAAGAGATGGCTGAGCAAACGTGGCTACTATGCTCTTTCAATTGTACAAAAACAACTAAATTTCACTCGCATCCCCGCCATGCTTTTGTGTTTTTACAACTGAGAGGAAGAAGAAGAAGGGTGGTCGAGAGAGGTTGATCACCCCTCCTTACCACCTACACACTACATGACGCACGATCAGGCTAAAAGTTGGGCTGATCGACATTATCGCACGACTGGAGAATCGGCCCAAAAAGGGCAAAAAAAATCCTACAGTGAATGCCTGGCTTTAAAGGTCAAGTCCATCTGTGTATAAATTAGTTGATATGATTAATTCAATGTTAAGTAATCAATAACATTAACTCTATAATCTAACAGGGCACGGCCATCTACAGTACCTACAGCTGAACTGTCTTAGTGAAGAGATGATTATTTAGAACATTAATGATTAAGAAGCCACATATATCACAGTAATGCCTTTAGCAAATCTACTTTTTATTGGGAGAGTGGCATGAAGATAGCATTGAGAAGAGTAAAGTAAAGCAGTGGAAAAAGCTGCTCCCAGAGATGGTTGAAGTCATATTTGTCAAACACACTAAGCTAGGCCAAATTCGCCCTGCAGTGTAATGATATTTGGCCTAAAAAAAATATTTCCAAGTATCTGTTAGTGCTGGCTCACCAGCCGACAGTGCCAAAACAGCTAACGTTATAAGTCCCAGATGCTCTCTTGGTGCGTTGGCGTGTCAGTCAGCACCAACAAACCCTCCTTCTTCTTAGAAAGAACAATTTTAAGTCTTTAGATGTGCAAATCCATTAAATTCACACACTGATGACTTAAACCTGCAACTTCAGTGAAAACATTTATGCAAAGTACTGAAGTATTCCCATGAATAGACGCATAGATTCCAAGTCAACCGTTGCTCAACCCAGCAAGGTTTCACCAGTCTGCTGACAGTCCTTCTGCTGCTTCGAATGCTAATTATCACACATACCAAAAAAAAGTGTTAGCTGAATGGTTTGAGGAACCTTGACACAAAAGCTGCTTGCATCTCCAGAAACAGAAATCTTGTAAAGCAGCACTTCCTGCTGGCTAGAAGAAATGGCTGAGACAGGAACTTTCCATTTCTCAAGTTAACACATTTGATAAAATCAAGTTTATTATTAAATACCAGGTCTGAGCAAAGCTAGTCAAAGCCGACACTCGCCCACAAGCTTTTACAGGTTGCTGTTTTGCATTTTATCCAGCGTTAAAGAGGTTTTTTATCTTTTTGCATGAAAGAGCTTAACACCATTAACAGGCGGGGGAAAAAAAACATTCATTTGTAATGCAAACAAAAGTTTCAATCACATTTAGCTTGAGGTAATTCCGTTTTTTTATACTACCTGTGATTTTTATGGTGATAAAAAGCCAACAGAAAAACAGAATGGAGCAAGTTTATGACGCTGAAATCCATCAGTTAGCTGATTCTGCATGAGTTTAAGCTCTACTAATAAATGAAGCTCTCTGTACTTTGAGACAAGGTGGCGATGAGATGTTTCTCATTAAATGAATTGGTTTAACGGAGAACTAAGTAAACCTTGTTAGAAATATTTACACCACCATTTCCATTTCCAGAATAAACATAAAGCAGATCCAGAAGGCCAACCTCTAGCCAGCAATCCAGGCAAGAACATTGCTGTGATGCAGGAGCTCAGTGGGATTAAAGGAGCAACAATGCATGGCTTGTTCACTGGGATCTGTGCGAGGGGACTACATGCTTTCCACGCCATTCTGTGTGTTGATGTGCGTACATGTGAGTGTGTGTTTTAAGGCAGCCTCGTTCCTCCAGGAGCCGTCCATCTGCAGGACTATCTGATTACACCCACCAACTGAAGGCTCCCTGTTTGATTACATGCTGCCCTCTCTTTGTTTCTCATTACTACACAGACGACACATATCAACTACTCAGGTAAACACCTGTATAAATAAATATGGACGTTTGGTCTGAGCCTTGGCTAAAGATGAACCTGTAAGAGATATTAAATACTTACAAATTGAGCCAAAAACTTTAAATTATCAATTTAATTTGAAATATTTTGTGGAAACTTAAATTTTGTAAACCTCTTTTCTGTATCATCACTCTAAATTTTAACAAAAACTGTCCTAAACGTAAAGGTAAAAACGACAAAATAACCGAAAATGATGTGGAATGCAATACATACAGTATGGTGGAAACATTTCAAAACCTCCTACATTTTATCTAGTAAAACCCCCGCAATATGTAAAAATAATACACAAAAAAAGAAAAAATGTTAATACCATCTGAGGAGTACCTGATGCGAGTCCAATATTGGTTCAATACCTCCCCCTTCTGCTGTGCAAATGTAAATTCAGCAGAGAGAAGCAAGCAGACTGTTCACTTACCACTGAGTGAAACGTACCACCGTCCAAAGAATCCGCCAGAACATTAACGGCAACCAGGGCAACCTAGAAAATAAACACAGCTCAACTGTAAAGTCCTGGGAAAATGACAGGAAACTATGTTTTTTTCACAGTAAAACAGATTTCTTCTACTTTTATTGTTATAGGTTTTAAGATTTCTGCTCTCATCCATTACAGATAACATGTTAATATGATAATATGTGAGGTAGGCTAAAAGATTTCCAAAAGAACCATATTTTGCTCCAATATAAATACATTCAAGGAGAGATGAGAAACAAAATCAGTCTGGATTACAAGGTCATTTCTAAATCACCTCCACAGTTTGAGTATTTATCCACAATAGTAGAATAGAGGATTGGTCCAACCTAGGGCT